TTGAGTGCTCAGGGGAAGAGGGGAGGGAAGGATGGGAAGCAAGAAAGGAGAGGAAAGCACCCGGGAGCCTGGGAAGTCCAGCAGAAGGGCTGGCAACAGCAAATGCCAGGGGACGGTAGAAGAGAGCCAGATGCCCTGTCATGGTGTGAGCAACAGGAGAGTAACTGATTATTATAATTATTTGCAACCCCTTTTAGCAGGGAAGAGCTAACCGGCGGTGCCATTTATTCCCCAGCATTCTTCCCTAATAATACCCTTAACACAGCCTGTTCCATTGCTTTTGCGAGGCATGTTTTTCATCTTCAAACTCAATTTCATTTATTAGAGGCTTCAGCATATGTGACAGTGTGTGCACACAGCAAGTGCAGCAAGGATTCATTTTAATTATTCTGTATTACCAGGAGGCACAGAGCATTTGTGCTGGTGGGCAAAAGGGCTAGGAGGGGGTGTTATCTATTTTGTTTCTGTGTCACGTACCACAACTGTAAGGTGACAGGGCTTTCTGAATTGCATTTTAAATATGGAATTGGGACATTTAGTGGCTGTCAGTGCTTTGTGCCAGCCACAGTGCAGGGAGAAAGTCTCCAGCCAGCAAGCACCCGTGTGGCTGCAATAAATAGTCTGAGATAACAGACACCTCTCTGAAGTTTTTGTTAGAAAGTCAGCCAGAGGACTCTTCCCTGGGCAGTGACTAATGATATTTGAACGCTGCTCTTTATGAAAGTGTGATAACATATAGTTTTTTTCTCAACATGGAATGAATTTGTTCTAAGACAAGTCAAAATATTATTTCAGTTGAGTCTTAGAAGGAAGAAGAGAAGCTGGATGCAGAAACTGTGTTTTCTAAGCTGACTCTCCAACCGTTTTTATTTTTCTGAACTGGAAAATTTTCCTTTGCTTTGCACAGGAATGAGGAGAATTTTTACCTTGCAGTTCTATGTAGCCCAATGGCTTTCTGCCCAGTGTTGTGTTGTAGGTGTGGAAATCATAAACTGGACATTAAAAAAAAAAAAAAAAACTTTTTGTTTGTTTGTTTGGGTTTTTTGGGGTTTTTTTTTGTTTGTTTTTTGAGGAAGTTTGCTTTTTTTTTTAACTTAACAGGTTGAGCCATTGTGAACATTCACTCTGTTAGAACTGTGCAGAATGTAGCAATCCAGAAAGCTGAAAGATATTGATAAATTGGAAAAAGTGTAGAAAGAAACAGCAGAATTTATGAGAAGCTTGAGGAACTGACTTTGGAAGGAAGACACTGCAAGAGTAGACTATAGGAATTTGTGTAATTTCTCACTACTTTTGTACAGCAACTTTAAAACTAGGCTCAAAGTTGTGGGCTTTGAGCAGTGTAGGAGGCAGAGCACAGACTTGCAGGAGACAGAGAAACTCGTGGTGTTATGGGAGGAAAAAAGAGGTGATATATTTACATCTGGCTAACACTGTTGCAAAAGTAAGCTCTAAGGGACCACTGATGATTTGGGTTGTTACCATGCTGCTTGATGTTCCTGGAAAGCCAGGAGCTGTGAGGATATTGGAGAGACTGAGTTACTCTGCGCTGATGTAAATGTAACTGGGAGCTGGATTAGTGAATGTCATTTCCTGGGCTGTGTTTTGTATAAGATCCCTTTGCTGATGATGGGGAAGAGCAGACACAATATACTTCACTCTACAGCCACGGAGTTTTGGTGTCTGGGCTCCATGTCGCAGCTAAAGACAACCATAAGAAAATAATGATGTAATGTGTACAACTGTGCTGAGTAATATTTGTTATCAACCCTTTCCAGAAAGCAAGTAAGAGAATTCATTAGAGGAGTATTTGTTCTTTGGTGTTCCAGGTGTGTTAATGTCAATACCAAGTAAGATGTGATCCATAGTCAATGGAGATAAACCTCTACTATCTTCTGTCTAACCTGTGCAAGTACTAGCTGCAGTTAGGTTCTACTTTGTCATACTCTGTACACAGCAAGGGGTGTGGGTTTGGGCTAAATCTGTCACTGGTGCTTTAGCCAGTCTGGCTGAAGTAGTTGCCATCATCATTATTTGACAGCAATGGAGTAAATAATGTGTGACCAGCCAGAAACTGATACAAAGCTCTCGAAATCCCTGTAGAAAATTTCCTAAAAGGCATTGTATACGCTGTACCTGTGGCATCAACATTTTAGAAATGTAGAAAAAACAATTAGAATTTCCTTTGGAAAGAATGGTATGGTGCATAATGATTATGAACACACACATATGTGTACAAACATAATTGTTTTGGCTTGATTTTACTTTAAATATTTTTTAAAAAATAAAATCTTATACAGAATTATAGAATGGTTTGAGTTGGAAAGGACCTGAAAGATTCCAGTCCCCCCCTGACATAGTCAGGGACATCTCCCACTAGACCAAGTTGCACAAGGCCCCACCCAACCTGGCTTTGAACACATCCAGTGATGGAGCATCCACAGCTTCCCTGGGCAACCTGTGCCAGTGACTCGTCAATCTCATAGTGAAGAACTTCTTCCTTACATCTAATCTATGTCTAATGTGGTCTTCTAAGACAATGAAAAAGTCATGTTTTCAGGTGATATTATGCAGTTTGAGCAATCTATGTGTCAGAGAGAAAACCCTACTTTAAAGGAAAAAGGAGTTTTATGTTCTTTGTCCATGTTAGAATTAACTGATGGAAAGCTGAGGCCATGGGTTAATATGATGCCAAAGGGCCTTGCTCTTAAAAGCAAGAGTGATGACTGTTTGCTTCTTAAAGACCTCTGATTGCCCAGCATGCTTGATCAAAATCCAAACCAGCTTGCTTTGAATGACAAATTGATTGTTGTGCGCATTTTTGGTAATACAGCAATTTGTCTCCTTGGGTACAATACTCTAATCCCCACTTCATTTATCAGTGGGGAATCAGCCATTCAGCTCTTCCTCAGGCTGAGAGGTTTGGCATGGTAGCTCTGTCACTGTTGTGTAGCTGCAGACTCTGTGGTGAAGATACCCCCTCCCAGCAGCACCTACACACCAGTTCCTCAGTTTCATAGGGAGTTTCATTCAGGAGTTTCATGGTGTCCCTTGGAACCTGCTGTATTGATTGTTTTAGAAATGTTTAAGTCAACAACAAACAATAGAATTTTGTCTGTTCTTGAGTTTTTAAATTTCTTGTTTGCACACACAGTCTCCTTTTCCTCCTTACTTCTGTGCTCTGAATTTGTTCTCATCTTCCAGTTTGACTGATATGGAGTGTTGGTTAGGTCTTCAATCAGCACTGTGCTCCAGAGTTTCAATCATCCCTCAAAGTGGTCAGCACACAGTGATAGATCTATGGTCCTCCTGGTCTTATCATTTGTAGTGTGAAAAGCTGCAATTCCCAGGGACTAGTGCATGTCTGTGAAGTTCAGGGTACCCTGTGTGTTGATACCATTTCTTAACATAGTGCAGAACCTTTGCAGTTGTTTGGCTGTGTCTTATCTCATGCTGATGCCATATTTCTTGCACGTTTCTGACAGGGGGGTTGGACTTGATCTCCAGAGGTCCCTTCCAACCCCTAACGTTCTGTGATTCTGTGATTATTCTGTACCCCAGAGTCTGATGGGTTTGTGTTGCTCGCTCTCTGGTTCCCAAATAAGATACACCTGTCCTGAGAAAAGCAGAAGTCTTTCCAGCAGAAGTGGAGGTTGAGAGGTGGTGGAAGATATGGTATCCTTCACCCTTCTGTGGTGAAGATCCTTAAGCAATTAAGCATATTGAACACCTGGGTGTTGCTGTCAGTCAAGACGTTTCCATAGAAAGCCCATGTGTAAGACAAAGTGGAAATGTGTACAGTCTGAGCAGGATATATGCTAGGATAACTTGTGAACACCATCACATGCCCTCGTAACCACAAGCTCATGGACAGTAATTCCCTCCTGGCATGCAGCAGGGCAGAGCTTTTCCACTGCTCACAGCTTACTGGGAAAGCCACAGCACATCTGTTCGGTGGCTTGAGCCATTGAGCATTCTTTGCATAGCCTGCCTGGATAAGCTGTCACTCTTGATTTTTAAAACATTTCACAACAGAGGGTTAGCTTAGAATGGAGAACCTCTTCTGAGCATCATCTGCAGAGGCCCCTTCTGCTCACAAACACATGCTGCATAAGGCTGCCACCATCATGCCTTATGTCAACAGGGGATCACATCCTCTCTGCTGCAGCAAAGTACACTGGATTAGCTACTCTCCATCAGTCAGCTGCTGGCCTCTATTTTGCATTTATTACGTTTCTAGATCAATGCTTTTACCTATTCCATGCCTCCATTCAAATTTTAGAGATGCTTCTTGGAACATCTCCTTTTCTTCAGACTCTTTCTGGAAAACTGATTTTGCTTATCCTTTTGAGAAAAGTTGACCTCCTGCTCTGTTTCTCTGAACGTTCGGCTTTGTTGGCTAGGGATGGAAGAGGGAGCGTGTACACAAAGGCTCTCATTAGCCTGGGGATGCTAATTTCCTTAAGCCTCGTTGATAGTCAACCAGGGAATGATCTAGAGCACTTAAATTTAGCTTGCTCTGCTGAGTCTCTCTCGAGACAACTCTGTCTCTCTCCGTTGCCATTACAGATGACTACATTGATAAATATTTGTCTTTATAAACAATTCCTTGTTTGTATGATATTTAACAGGGTGCATTTTTCTGTTTCTTTTGCTTTATATTGTGTGTTTTCTATGCTAAGCAGAATCAACCAGACTGGGGGAGAAGGCTCCTTTGTTAGTATTATTACATTTTGACTTATATCTGGTTTCGTTTTCAACCTCTGAGTGAGGATTTTTTTATCACAAACTTCAATTAATATGCATCTAATCAATGTAGAGTCTAAAAGTTCTGGACAAGCTTATGGTTTTGTTTCACTACATTGTGCTATACTGAATTCAGGAACAATATTTTCAGTTTCATCTCTCATTTATTGTCCCAACTGAATATGCTGGTTGATGATATTTGTGAACACCCAGAATATACTTGTTAAAAAGCCATTTCTCTATTTCTGTTGCAGTGAACTATTTCATAAAAAATGGTACAGATGATGTGTTACTGTGTGGCAATAGCTCTGATGCTGGGTAAGTGCATTAAAAATATTTTCACTTCTGTTTTGTTTCTTTTTTTTTTTTTTAATTTTGCTGTTTCCCTTCAGTTCTGTCTACTTCTCACCAGCACGAAGTAGATATTTCAACTTCTTTGTGTCAGTCATAATAGGAGAGAAGATAATGATGATATTGTACATAGTAATACAATTTTCTGAACTGCAGGGAAGAAAAGTGTGTGTGTCACTTATTCAGGTCTAAAATCTTTAAAGGCCTTATTACAGTTCTTCTTCAATACATTTAAATTTCTCAGTTAAAAAAATCATGAAAACTAAGTTACACTTTGTCTGGGTGTAGTGTATTTTAGAGGAAATGGAATAGGAACGGAAGCAAAAGCTGGAGGGATTTAAACTGATGATGAATTCTTGGCTTTTGGCAAAGGAAGATAAACAAATCAACAAATGCTAATCCCCAAAATAACATGCTTTGGAGGTGGGAAGGTACTCGGTGTCGAGTTGTGATCTACATTTATACATGATATGTTTATAGACTACGCAAGTTTCATTTTCTCATAGTATAGAGAGTGAAGAGATCCAGAATAATTCCTGTGGTATCCTAATTTACTCTGCATAAAGGACTTTATTCATATCCCTACCATCTGTAGATGCTAATGGTTCCTCCGGCATCCAGTCCTCAAGGTCTAAGTGCATTGTCTGAGAATGTGATGCTTTTTTTACAAGTTCTTATGATCTTCGTGAAAATGGAAGAGTTCAGATGGTATGGAGAGAGATGGGGTCTTGTGTAGGAGAGGAGATTATAAGCCATGCAAAGACTGTAGGCTGTTAGGAGTTGTAGGAAAAAGAAGAAAAGACTTTAGCATGGTGGGATAGATGAGCTTTTGATCTAAATAAGTGAGACAATGTGAACTAGGCAGAAAAATGACCTAGGTCAAGTGAAGGGAGGAGGTGAGATGATCTACTTTTGGAAGGAGATGTTTTGAGTTGGAAAAAATAAGTTGGAAGACTAAAAAAAAGGGTTTTAAGTAGGAGGAACTTAATGGGAAAAGAGGCCTGTGTGCATAGGGAGACAGCAGGAAGATGAAAGGAAGATAAAATCCAAACTTGCTTGTGGACAGGAGGACAAGAAAAGCTATAGAGTCCTGTAAAAAAAAACACCTTTCTTTCTGCTGACACTGTCTTTATCTGTATGTTCATAAGAATATGGGAAAGCTGAAGAGCCAACCTTTCCTCTGCATGTCTTGTGTGCCTGATGTGCATTGGAAGCCTAATTTAGACTGTAAGCTCCTTGGGCAGAGGGCCACGCTTTCCTCTTTGTCCCATGGAAGATACAATGTCAGCATTCATTAATTAAGTATTTTGTTGACTGTAATACATTGCATTTATCCAGGCTCAGGCTGGCCTCCAAGACTATTGAGATGTTTCCCGGGGATCCCAGGATTTGGCAATCTACCTATGCTGGTGGACTTCAGCCTCTGCTCGGCAATAGCCAAAAATATCAGGGAAAAAATGTTCTGCACAGAAACAATATTTTGCCCATCACAGAATATTATACACTGTTCTCTCTGATGACCTGAACCGTGGTGGTGGCTGGCTGCTAAGGTCATGAGCACTGTTGAAAGGGTTGATTAGATGACAGGTAGTTTGTGAGGCAGAGTTTAGGCACTACTGCTTTGGAAGTGTTCAAATGGAGTGAAGTTAAATACCAATCCAATACCCATGGAGTATTTATTTATTAGCCTGTATGGATTTAAGGGTTGGGTTCTAGCAAGGCATGTTAGCAAAACCACCTTTATTTCCTTACCTAGAAAGTCAATATACTGCAATGTGTCAGCAAAAAGCCATGACAGGAGAAAACCTCCAATGGAGACACTATGCCCATGAGAGTCACTGCTGGAAACAGGCAGTGGAGAACCTCCAGCTTTCATGTCTAAGAGGAGGGAAATGCCATTCGCACACCTAGAGTTCTTGTGCTTGTTTGGGTAAATACATCAAAACTATCAGTGTTTGTGCCGTTAAGGGAAACCCACTTTCTGTTTATGCATCAGTTCCTTCTTCTTCAGCCTCTTGCTGTTTTAGTTAATTATTTAAAATCACTGGGCAAGATTTGATTTAAAATGCCTAAAAATGGGGAATATCTATTCCTACTCATACTGTTGGTTTTTTTTTAGCTCAGGACTAGCAAGTGTTGTCTCATCTGTATACTTTGCACAGAATTCCTGCCAGTCATCCACTCCTGTTGTTTAAAGACATGAAGATAATTAGGAATATGATCCTTAGCCCTCAGAGGATTTGCAAAATCATGTATTCCTACCTGTTAGGATAGAAAGACCATCATGTACAGGCTGATGTATCTAACAGAGTGGATTTCTTTTCTCTTACCCTTCAATGGTGAAAGCCAAGAGCAACTGCATTGAATAGTAAAATACAAAATCCAAATGTGTGGGACCTTTTGGGACAGGTTGCACCACAGGATCAGGGAATGTGAGTTAAGAGTGAGCGGATGCATCAGTTTGTGGTTCCTCCATCTTTCAGTAATTAAATTAATGACAAGGGAGGAGGTTTAAGTTGGGAACCCATCAAGGCACCAGTCAAGTGGGGTAGGGAAGAAAACTGGCAAGGCCAGATCTGAGTTCATAGCATTTGTGGAGCTTTCTTCTGCTCTCACTTTGGAGATTGAATTTATTAGCCTCTGGGGTATGCTGAGGACCAAAGGGAAATGCAGGGAATGGCACTGCCATGTGTGCACTCCTGGAGGGTGGTGTTGTTAGAGTGAGGGATATCTGGGTTGTAGCTGGGATATTAAATCTCGAGGTAATTGACAAAGCCATTTTAGTGCATTTTTAAAAGCATGTTAATGACACTTTGAGGTTTGGCTGGTTGATGTTATTACAGAAGAGTAAAAAAAAAAAAGTCTAAATAAATGTACTATGGCAATTATTAGGTGATGAGACTCAGATGGTCTGAGGTAAGAGTGTGTAGTGATGGAGACTGCAACCTGAGCTGGAGTAGCAAGCCAAAATCAGCAGGGAAATGATCTTCAGTGGATGCTATATCACAGACAACCTAATTATCTCCAAGGTGGGGGTTTTATTACATTACTAGGAGAGACTGTTTTCTGAACAAGCACCCAAACTGCTAATAAAGAAGGAGGTAATGGATGTAGCTAATATTGATTCTAGTTCAGATAGGATTTGAACAGATGTATGTCACTCAGCTGCAGCAAAAATGTCTGTAGTACTTTAACTGGCAGATGGAAGAAAAAACATTTATTTATGTTTTTAGGTATGCCCAGGCATCGTCAAGAAGCCACTTTAAAATCGTGCTATAAAGACATGTTAGGAATGTTGGGGAGATGTTGTTTCTTAGCTGCACGAGGAGTAACCTGTCTGTGGGATTTCCCATGTGATGCCTCAAAAACATCTTTCAAGATACCTGAAAATTGATTTTTCTTCATTTAATCAAATAGAACTTTTGTGTTGTTTTTCATTTTGTTTATCCAAATACATTTTTCCCCTTGATGTACTGCAAGGATTTGCTTTGTATTTGCAAGGAACAAATTGTCCAGTGGAAACAACAAGTAACGTTTGGAGAAGAGAGAAAATCAAATGATTGTAATCAAAGATGTTCCTTGGCTCAGAGTGAACACTGGTGACACGTGCTTGGTATTTCACAACAAGCACATTCAGAGCATTACTTTAATGGAATAATCCTCTGCTCTGAGGTGTGTGTCACAGACTGGTCAGACACTGGAAGCAGTGCTAACAGCAAAGTTCTTTCAACAACAATGACAAAAAAGCAGTGTATTTTCAGAAATATTAGTGTTTCTAGGTGTGTTTTGGGGTTAAACTTGGTTATTCTTTTGAATCTTGCTGCACTGAGATTTATCCAAGTTGGTTCTCTTTGCAATTTCACCTTCTTTTGTTTGATTTAGTTGAAATACATGGAGAAAGCTCAGATAGCCTGATTTTCAAAAGGATTATAAATGCTATAAATTTGCTTTTCAGTTTAAATCCCAGTCTATAGCTTATCCTATTTTTACCTTGTTTTAGCCCTAAGGAAGGACCAGTAAAGATCCAGTACAAATATTTGGAGGATCTTAGGAGCAGAAGCTGAAAGCTGCTTTAGTCTTTGTGAAATCCAGTGTTGGCATCAAAGGTCTATGCTTTGCAAAGGCTGGAGAATAGCAGGTGACAAAAAGCAGCACCATATGCTATCTGTAATCAGGCATCATGGACCTTTCGATGGCATCCACCCTGCTGTGTGAAAATGGTCTTTGAGGGCAAAATTACCACATCTCTGCAGAGGAGTATTTATGGTGATCGTGCCAAAGGGAAGGCGTGTATTTAGATGCAATGCTTTAGGGTGTGCTCAGGGACCTACTGCAAGCACAAACCATAGCACTCAGTGCCTGACCCTAGGCAATGGGACATGGCCAACAGCAGGCAAGAAATGAGGGAGCCTCCAAGGGCACTGCTCTCAGGAGACACAGTCCTGGTCCCACCTTCAGATCCAACGAGACATCCTGCTAGGGCACATCAGCAGCAAGCATCTCCCTGCTGTGAGCATCAGAGCAACCCTCCCAGCGAGTGGGCTGGAGGAACTGTTTCAGGTCAGGCCACATCAGCATGCTCCGTGCTGCCCATGCACTTGCAGCTTACTCCTTCTGCATGACTACTAGCCATTCATTCTGATGAGATGACCAGCACTGCAGAGTCCCATGCTTCTCCACAGAGTAAAGACTTACGGGGGCTGCAGCAGCTTGAAATTATCTGTCCATGAAAAAGGAAGATACATTTCAGCTCTGAAGTATTTCCACTTTTATCCTGTTGTAATTTTACAGGGTCATTTTTCTGCTGTTCTTAGACTGCTGTTTTTTCTTCCCCTTCTGCCTGAAGGTTTGGAAGAGCAATAGAAACAAGGAAATTTGTCCATTAGGAGAAAAAGAAAGAGACAAGATGCTATCAATGTACTAAGTAAACAAACAGACAAAAAAGAGAAACTTATCTTAGTTCTTTT